CGGCTGGAGAGAACAGTTTGCCGCTCCCAATTGTTCTCTCCAACCGACCAACTCCCCTGGCATGCTATATTTCTCTATTTGGCCGATTTCTACTCTTTCCACCAGCCTCCCGAAGCCTGGTACAGGCTAGCTGCCACGCCAAGGCGTACGAAGTCTACCTTGCTCTGAACAATCTCTCTGTGAACCTTTGTGGGGTCTCTGGTGGGGGCGGCAAATTTCTGTGCAGACCAACAAAATGAAAAGGCTTTTTTTGTGATCACTTTTGGTCCCAAGTTTACCCTGGGATTACCTGGGACGGAGAGTGGACAAAACTAATGCGTTTTACTGCCGATTTATTACACCAGGGGCAATAATATAGTCATTACACGATCGCATTAGCACAAGAAGCTGTAATTAATGTCTTAGTGCAATTTCAGGGCGCCAAACTGGATTCTTAGTCAATTTCTGATCATTCTTTAACGTAGTAAGTTGCTTAAACCATATCCGCCCATAGCATACGAGGCAAAAATACGAAGTCTCTGACAGAAATAGTTGCTTGTTTTTGTATCGTAGCTATAGGCTGGTTCTAGCTTCTTATGGGTGGTACCCAAAAAATATAAAGAGATGCCTCGCCTGGTTTGTTATTAAGCTATTTCAAACTCTTCAATGATTATGAAAATGGACTAAGAAATGGCAGTGAATCTCAACATCAGACAGATTTCCTCATTCAGAATATTTCTTTGTTTTGCTGCCCTGAAATTGCATTGGATTGCTTTAAAGGTGGGTTATCCATGGATACCGTGATGCTGGTATGACATCGGTATGTCGTCCGTGTGTCACAGATTAAACACTAAATGACGTTATTTGGACAGAAGACAAACAAGTTGTCAGATAAGACCTTTCATTCGGAATTGGTGTTATCAGGAGAAAGGTAGTACCCGTTATAACGCCGTATAATGAGTCAATAGTCTGTCCCACCCACGATGTATATATTGACTGATGTAGGCTCATGTGTCTACCGAATTAGTACCCTGGAAGCCAAACTCGTTTTTGGGCCGCAAGAGCACTTCGCCCGCTGGTCTATTAAATCGCTACGGGGGAGTCTAGTCCGGGGGCTAGATGCAGGGCCGAATACTCCCCATGGGCTCAACTCCGATCCACCGCAGCGGTAATCGAGGTCTGCGGGCGAAGGGCTTCTGGCTGCCGATGGAAACGGTTAGCGGCCCGTAAACTTGCCTGGCACCCAGGGAACCGAATTAGTACCACACAACAACGCCATCTGTTGGTAGAAAACATCACTACTCCAAACACACTCAACCTACATGCAAGAAGGCCGCCTCTAGTTCTTTTGTGGCCGAATCGCTATTAAACTACAAACACACAATCCCTACGTGAATAGCCGGAGTGTTTGTAGGATTAAGTACATGGCTTCGTGAACTGGCAACCGACTCCAGACTTGGTAACCCTGTACTGTACATGTCACAGGTATGTTTTCAACGTTTGGTTGTTCAAACAACACATCCGTCAACTACATGCAAAATGGACGTGTCACGGTGTCTGGTCGTCATTTTCTTTCATTGGTGTTTTTCGTGATATTTCTGTTTCAATTTTCCATAAAATTGAACACATAGTATCTGGGTTTGGAGAACTCTTAGAATGAACTAACAAAGCAAAGAAGGCATAAATAAAATACCGACGAGCAATTCGGCTCCACTTGACTATATCTAGGACGTGCCTGTGTGTTAGTTATGTCTACTGACGGTGTTTTGTTCTAGACATGTACATATAATCCTACATTTGCTTTTCAACCGTAACAGACCCTATCACACTCCTGGCCCCCAACTTTATTTACCGACCACTTCAGCCAGAACTCTACAACATATCTTACTGTGCCTGGCCGCTGTCTTACCTTTTCTGGGATCCTTGTAGTCTATGATGTTTAGACCTGGCATGGACACGGTGAATGTTGTTGCCTGGGATAAAAAAAACACAAACACAACCCCAAACGTTTACAAGAATGATATCACCACACGTGTAACAACCAACAGCACAATTTTACGTAGTAGGATATGAATTACTGACTAAGGGCACAATGAAACAAATATCGTTGAGCAGTAGATATTTTGGATTGATCGTAACACAGACGGTATTGTGAAGGAATAGTTATGACAACCACAGGCCAGTGTTGCAACAGTCTTTTCACAGACCACGTTGTGCCAACAGTGCTTACCGTATATTTTACACCCACTGCCAATAGACGAGTGTTTTTTCCTGTAGTTTCTATACCACAGCTGGAGTGTGCTCAACTCAAATGGCGGGGAAACACTCGTTATCCCCTTCAAAGTTTTCCCGAACACGTGAAACACACCGTAGTAACAAGGGGTGACACATGCCGCTAGAGAGGACGTACCAAATCCAGCTAGAGCACCCAGTTTGTTACATAGAGATCAGTTTTTCATTGTAAATAAGCGTGAGGAAAAGTAGGGCAATTGAATTCAAAGCGTTTGTTGGGCAAACAGCTCTCACAAAGAGTCGGTCTGCACGGCGTCGGGTATTGCCTGTTGTTGGATAAACCAACCGTTTACTACCATTGCTGACTGCCTCAGAGCTTCTGAGAGAGATTTGCACTATCGGAATTTGACGTGAAAAAAAAAACCAAGCCATGAACACGTAACGTTACTACAATAGAATTTGGCGACAGATAAGTCTAACAAAAGAACCCCCAACCACAACAGAATAAGAAGTGGAACAGGTGAAACTTTACAGGTGAAATCACGCCCACCTTGTGTTTCATCTTTGACCAGTGGTCAGTATCTCCCCAGGACATCATGACTGGACTGTGACGGGACCAGAAGGTCATGCTAGAAAAAACACAACAAGAAAACATGAGTCTTAGGATAACTTCGAGTCTAGGAACAATTGAACGAAATGGCTGCATAATTGGGAGTTAACTTAGTGTAAGGAGAGTTCTACTTACTTGGATTTGCGAGGTTGGGGTGGTAAGGCGGTCATATTCGCCATGGTGAGATAGAAAAACTTGTCCTGTTGACTTTGGTCAAAGTTGAGCGTGGCCACGGACAAGATTTGCAACCGAGAAGTTGGATGTTAGCAACCGAGCGTGAATGGACGCGGCGTGCGCGGCGCAGCCTGCATGGACCCAGCTGAAACCCGGTTACCAACAACAAAAAAAGTCGTCTGATTCATCAGGTTTCCCCTTGAGCCCGTGTCACTGTGTGTATACTCAGGGACAATCCATTGTTAGCGACGGGGAGGGAGGATACATCAATTTTCTGACAGAAACTTACACCCAAATTAACAAAAAAATACACCTTTACTCGATAAAAGAATATCTCACACTGCTCAACATAGTTAACCAAAATCTTGTCCCTTGAAAAAGGAATGCAAATTTTGAGAGCACCCTGTACCGAACTGAAAGCACCTTCCCCGGCACACCGAACACCGCACGCTTTGTGTGATAAGTAGATGCCTGTGATAGGTTTTCGTTGACCCATTGTTGGGTTTACTCAAAGGGACAACCTATGAATAGAGCGGACTAATAAAAGAGGACTAAACAAAGAGCGTGTGTTTGAAGGGGGTGTGACATACCGTCAGTCCCCGGGCAAATAGACAGGTACAACCTGACTAGCACCTTCAGGCGTATGTGTGGGTGATTATTAAATCTCCAAGCAAGTTTTGGTGACTGTACCCATTTGGGTGGCGAAATGGTAACTGTCTGGCAAATAGATACAGCCAGGCCAATTTTACACTGTCTTTGCAGCTACCAAAAGATATGCTTGGAGATTAGGAGATTATATCGTTTTCGGAAACTACTCTCCAAGCAGAGGTTGGTGGGGAAGATTGTTACCTTTTTATCATATGTCCCGTTTTCTGTCGCTACTCACAAACAACAGAAAACGGGGTACACGATAGAAAGGTTACAATCTTCCCCACCAACCTGTGCTTGGAGAGTATTGGGAAACGAAGTACATCTCTCTCTCTCTCTCTCTCTCCCTCCTCTCTCTTTGAGTGTCCCTTTTCTCATTCTGTGATGTTATATCGGCGATAAGATTTTCTCTGTCACTTTTTAGTACAACATTCACATATAGGTTACAAACTAGAAAGGTAACATTTGCAAGCAAATGCAATATGTTTACCTCAGGATGGTCTTGCCTACGATTTAACGTTATACCTTTATTAGGAAAGGAAAGGTAGAAGGATAGTTTGCTTATATTACTGACTTTTATGTGCTGTGAGTAACATCAACGTTATAACGGGGGAATTTGAATGTGTTGCCGTTGTAAGGCCAAGTCTACCCGTATGCCACTCAAAGATCATTACCATAGACTAGTCTTGTAGTGCCATGTATAGGAGATACTAGGATATATATAGTTACATACCACAGTACCAATGATTCACTCAGCACACACTCTTACCATGTTTGCAATTAGGCCACAGCATGTAACTTTAATCAATGACATCCTCTGCAGACTGCAAGTAAACTTCGAGTCTTTTTGACAGCTTTAGTTACAAAGGACTTTGCTGCGCTCATCTCACTACCTTATTACATTTTTGTAAATAGGGAACAGGACGTAGGCTGAAATAATAATGATGATAAGTTTATTATTATTACAAATACATGACAGAAGGCTAATTGTAAATACGTATATCATACGAAATGATATACAATGATATGAAGAACTAATTCCTACAGTACACTTTAGTCTTTATACTACAGTATATAAGATATATATCAAGCCAGTTTTGTTGGGTTTTACTTGTTCTTTTGATCGCCGAGCCAGTGAATTATACCCACTTCTATAATAATTGTTCTTTGAAATTTTATATGAAAATCATTGCAATGATGATGAAAATCTACAGTTGTGTAAAATATTGGAACTACACACTCTATAAAACCATACATACATACTTAAAAGCTATACATGACTTAACTGTTACATATATTATGCAAATTTAACATACATAATGAATATTTACTGGCCAAATTGGAGATATAATGTGTTTCTAGAAATGGTTGTGATGTGTTGTATCCTTCTGTGGATGGCTGGGTTCAGCTCTGTTAGGTTCCTCCCCAGTTTTTCATGGACCAAGTTCTGCTTCCTTTCCTAGCAGAGGTCCAATCTTAAGAGTCTTAAGAGGATACAAACAGGAGAGTAAGCATTTCAAATGTGATCAGAAACTGATATTAACCTTATTATGTTTAGAGAGATAACTTCATCACGGGATATGCATCATCGGGATACGGAATTTTTCGGGATAGGCGTCCCGATAAATCCCGCGAGATATCCGCGTGTGGTGCGAGATCTCGTCTACCGCGGGTCCTGTCACCGATGGCGGCGTGCCAAATGTTTATTTTTACGTCCTGTCGGGCGATCTGGGCAGGGCCAATGGAGCACCCTGACGTCAGTCAATTTTGCTAAAATTTTTATTCACTGATAGCACAGGAGTGTACATTGTGTATAACGCGTTCCTCACGCGGTAATAGGTGAACTGCTACATTTTATTTATAAAGCTATTGTGCAGCGAAAAACTCACGAAAACTGTAAGAAAATAGCAGGAATGAATTTTTTAATAACCCCAATTCGTCTCCGGTGAGTTTCGGCAAGTTTATAAACCTTCAAATAAAATGGGGCGTACCGGCTGTAGTAGTAGTTGTATTTCATTGTGACATCTTGTACTAAATTGGCTTGTTGAGGTCTACTCATCTTCTCATAAGCAGACTGCGTCAAGTAGTCTCTGTATTACGAAAATTAGGAACGTTTGCACATCAAAATCCCGCGGCAAGCGTCTCACCCCTCCCATGCAAACACGTACACATAAAATAAATAAACCCTTGCATCAACAATCAACGATCCGACCACGTCCATTGACGTACGTATTACCCTGAAAGCAAGTACTTCCACGCGGCTGGCAAAAAATCTTCCGGTGGAAAAAGCATTCTCGTTCTCGATGTCACTTGTGAAAACGTTGTTGTTTTGGAATGGAATCGGGATGAGAAAAATACAATGCCGCTTGCAGGACTGAGGCGGAAAATCGCTACAATCGCCAGGGCGGCCGGAGTCTCTGGGGCGGAGCATCGAGCCTTTGAGTTTGAAATCTTGCCGCCCAGCCAGTGGGCGGGTTCCCGTCTGTGTGCTGTGATTGGCGCCGCGCGGTGATAGCTATGCTGCGTGCCGTTTCTATGGCAACGTGGCCCAGTCACAGAAATGTATCAATTCTTGTTCGTCGCTGATCGTAAACACAGCCAAGAGGCGTAAAGAACTTTTTAATTATGCTTCGCCCCCCCTCTTTTGTATAATGTTTAATCTCCCTTCCGCAGCTCCGTGCGTCGACCTCCCCTACTCTACGGAGAAAAATGAACTTCTGGCGACATGGCACGTGGATGTGTTAGATTTTATATCTGAGATCGCGCGGGTCGGGTGACATCAAAAGCAGTACTTAGCGGGCCGTCCACATCGCAAGGTCAGACAGAAATTCTCGTACCAAGAAGGTTGTATTATTTTGTTATCGTTCTAAACATTATTAAGCCACTAAAATTTTCGATATTAAAAAGAAATATTTGATTAATAACACTAGCCGTTTGTGCTAATGTTATCATCATGCATAATTTGGAAACAAACATGCGCCGCACCGTCTGTCTGTAAAAATCTTAGTCAACATGGTTCCCGAAAAATCCCGGGATATCCCGATGAATCCCGATTTGATGCTTATCCCATGAACGGTACTGTATTATCCCGAAAAAGATTGAAACTGCCTGACAAAACGACAAAATGTAATGTTATATCCATGTTGTATCATGTCATCAGTAATAAACGTAAACAAACCGCCCCCCCTCCCCCGGCCCCGCACCCACATTACAAAGTCGACAATAGTTACAGATGAACACAAATATTCTGTTTACTTTATTTTCAAAACGGCAGCAAGCCTAAATCTCTATACATACGAGATTCTATCAAGTCAGGAGCTAGTAAATTATGAGTGTTTTTTTTTATTTGAGCCGGCGGTTTTATGCAAAAATTACACAAAGTCGCCGGCGTTCTGTGGAAATCTGCAGTCCTACTTGTGGATATTGAACCCAAAATCCCAATGCAATATTCTCTACTCGAGACTGGTATTCATATGACCGTATTTTACGAAGAAAAATGAAAACTTACCGCTGACATTGATCCACCGATCTCTTCTCCTGTCATACAAGGGCGGATGCCCATATTTGGAAAGCTCGGGTGTTCCGTGCGTAGCGCTAGGGTCAATGACCCGCGGTTATCGAACACGCTGTTCCATTGTTCCATGGTTGTTCGAATGTTCCAAACGCGTTCTTTTTGTTCGATTTTTGGCTTAAAATGCAACTTTTTTCACCCATTTTTTGCCAATAAAATCATTTTCTGACATCTATGTTGGCCAAAATGACCAAGGTTCAATGTCTAACGTACCAACCTACCAGCATGCTGAATTTCATTTTCCTCCAAGCTCTAATTACGAAAATATGGACGTTTTTTAGGTGTTTGGAACGGAAGAGGAGGAGGAGGAAGAGGAAACAGAGCAAATATAATATGTTTCCTTCGGTAAACATAATTACAGTCATCATGTAACGTTATACATGTAAGCAGACTCATTCAAACACTGTACACTGTCACTCTAGACTATTTACAGTCTGGTGAACTGTACGTGTATGTCACGGGCCGGTTCATTTCCTTCATACCATCAGTCAACCAGCTCATATGATACAAGGACTTTTAGTCTGCTATCCAGTCTATCGTGGTTGTGGCAGGCTGTCTTCGGGGCTCTGATAGTTTTTCCCCCGTCCAGCTCAACAGACCGCACGGTGGGAGTGTTACGCCTGTAGGCGAGTTGATTGTGGTGGGGCTAAACTGGAATCTAACTGAGCTACCGTCGTGCGAAACCTACCATATAACCTAGCTGAGTCGGGCGGGGAAGACTTCTACAGCCCCGAAGAGAACCCGCCCCAAACGCGATAGACTTGGACACCAGGCTAAAGGATTTTCGGCATCCAGACTATCGGTGTACATAATGAAGCCAATTGAGAACATAAAGCGTTTGGCACAAGCGTGTGAAGTGCCCACTTGTTCTATTGAGTGTCGAAAACCCGCCCTGGGCCAGACCAATTAACGCCATTTGATGTGTGTATTGATAAGGGACTCTTGAAAAGAGTTTCTCACTCTGTGTTCAGTGGTCCAGCAACTGCCGGCTGACCTTTCATGGCGTCGGGTCATCTCTATGGTAACCCAACCGATATATCAATGCTTCATGTTACTCCGAGTCTAGAGTAGACTGGGCTCCAAATCCAAACGCAGTTTGTTCGATAAAATAGTGTTTTCTACAAGTCAACATGAATATTATTCTTGTATTGTTAAAAAGGGGAACAGAATTTACAACTACGGTAACGCGTAACTACTTACAGAGGTCATTGGAAACAGAATACTGTAAAAATACTCACGTACCCCAAGCATAGTATTTACTAAACATTCATTCTCTAAGTATAGGCACAACACTTTAGAATTTAGGAAAATAGAAATCACGGCAGAGGCAAAAGGTACAAACCTGGTGCAACATGAGCAAGGAAAGGCACGAAGAAAAACTGCAAACTGACACACCAGACTCACACTATGTATTACTGTAGGCTGTTTCGCGTCTCAAAAAAAACTATAGTGAAACTCGGTTTTAAAGCTTCGCGGCCTTGGTATGATTATGAGATTATGAAATTTCTAGTGACGAAGATACTGTAATTGGCCATTTTTTCGCGGTACTTTTATATTTGCGCTTTTCGTGGCCACTTCTGTATGGCAAACATTGCTGGTGATTTATAATACAAATAATTTACCAACTTTCTTTTTTCCTGCACCTGCCGCCATTGCGAACATATGTTACATGTACATTGTAGCTCTTCGAACATGTCCCTTTTTCTCATACTGCGAAATTTTGCTACCGTGAACATATTAAAAGTGAATTACAGTATAGCGGCATTAGTCTATGCGGGATGACTTTTCGCGAGGAAGTACTTTTGTCTTGTCCTAGACGTGTTTTAAGTCGTAGGGAGAAAGTCTTTGTTCGTAACATCCGTATGTAATCTCCAGAGATTTTAACTCTCTCGCTGAGTCTTGCCTTGTATAATTACAATAACAACCACAAAGCGAAAACGCCCCAAGCGGGCGTAAGTAGATTACATCTTGCAGGTTGCAATTATAGACAAGATTAAGACAACCTACTTTACAAAAGCATTGGAAACGACTTTGCTTCGCAGAGGGACAGCATAGCCTCCGTAGCAGGCTTATAGAACTGGGGGTTTGGCGGTCTTCGGCTGTTTTCTGATTAGCCCAGTTCTAAAAACGGGGGTAATTCAACCAGGCCGGCTATGTTGTTTATATGCAATCAGAAAATAGCACATAAAAGCTCCCAAAGACCCTGAAGACCCCCAAAACCTCCAGTTTTTGGCATGCTATAGAGGCTAGGCATAGCAAATGAATGTTTTCTTCCTCCTTTTCTGTTGGTCTTCTCAGAATATGACTCAAAGTTGGTGTGACCCTCCAATTTTAATAATTCATTTCAAGCTTAAACATCTTCGATCACTGAGGCAAAAAAAGTCTTCAGATCACTCAATACTTCAATAAAACCCATCGAGCTTTTGTCCAACCGACAAAGAAAGCATGATTGATTTCTTAAACCCTTTCTCTCTGACCTGATTATATCAAATCTTGTCCAAACATTTTCGCCGGCAGCAGACATTCTTATCGATTCTAAAGCCTCAGACAGAAATTCTTTGCTGTGGCCTTGTCTACACATTTTGACAACAAAAGAAAGGACCTGAATGAAAGTGCCAAGTGTTGGGACGCAAACTGTCAAATACATACCATGAAATATTTCTTATCTTACCCACAGTTGGTTATGGTTGCTTCACCTTTGCGATATGTCCATCAAATATCATCTTTGAACCGTAGTAAAAGATATATTTTGTTATTTTTTGGCCCAGCCTTTGCAAATTGGAGTATCCCAAGGGATATAGTGTTTACACCAGTTTTTAGTAAAACCCCACACGATAAGCTGCCATACGTTACACTCCCGATCCCCAGAGAACCAACGTGAAATTAACCTATCTAACAGCCGACTTGCTCGAGACAAAACACAACAAAGAAGATCATATACACCACATTACCTGTAGAATTCCCAGGGTCCGCCAGTTGATTCAAGCTGAGATGTTACGTGCGATTTGGTGTGACACATGCCGGCACACCGGCCGGTAGTAACCGCACCCAAGCGTATCCAAACAAAATAGCCCAGTATGGGCAAGATGAATTAACCACCTGTTACGTTTGGTGACAGCAGGCGAACGGAATATCTCACCTTCTTATCATGGAATGTAGTTAGTCAAGATAATTACAGAAATCCCGCCAAGCTTATATGAGTAAAAAAATACAAGTTCTGGGTAGTGCCATTGCTATATTGAATGATTTAATCAGAAGTTGGTCTGTTCGTCTTTCGTCCTTTCTATAGTATTTATCTATCTATACTGTATATTTCACTTTCTTTAATAGACCTGTTTACCTTTCAGTTATTGCTAGATTTCAAGATTTCAGGGATTTCAAATTTTGTACAGAAATCTTTTTTTCAAAGTAGCAATGCTAGTAGTCCAAAAGATCATATACTAAAGCAAATGAGTTGGGATTCATTTCGGAATATATCTGTTTAGATATGGGTATGGTGAAGAAACGGCTTCTAATTTCGTCTTCTTGGTCGTGTATGTGATGGTTTTAGAATTTGAAATATTCTGTTAGACATCGCCATCATTACAGTGAGTCAACATCACAATCTACCAATGTACAAATGTACCTTTTAATTCATTCCTGTGAGGTCTACAGCATGTATTTTCAACCAAGTTTTCAAAACTAATTCTACACATTCATAAACACGCACACTAGGACATGGCAATGTGATTCACAACATTTAATGACGATAATTTCCTTTCAGTTGTTCACTGTGGCTCGCTGTTGATGTTACCATTTGGTGTTGTCCACTCGTTTTATCTGCAGTTCGAAAGGAATAGCGCTAGGTGGCGTAACCAGCTTATGCGGTGGTGGCGTCTCCGCCGACCAGGGTGTCGAACTGGTTCTGGATGGAAGCGACGATCTGCGTGGCGTCATCGATGTAGGGCTGGGTAACACCAAGGATCTGGTCTGTGGGCAAAACGGTACAATCAAAGATTACTACTATTCTTTTTTTTTCGATTAGTACATTGGTAGCTTAATAATTTCGTTCTTTGTAGTGGCCAGTTTCGCTTTTAGCAAGTGAGTATTGTAAAAGGATGCTTCCGCAATGTTTGAAGTTCGAAAGTGAAATAATTGTGTAGTATATTAGAAAATTATACAAGACACATGTTCGAAGTATTAGGATTTTGCGGTAAGTGATAACAACGAAAACCGCAGAAACAAGAATTCGGAGATCTCACACCTCCATGAAATGTTTAGATGTTGTGTCCTCCTCTCATGGTGTATACAAGTATTTCTCTAACGTGCATGGGAAACAACACCAGCTGCTAGTTGTCAAGGAGGTCATGTAACGATGTAGACGTGATAAATGACTTTTTCCCTTGGGGCGTCTCCACTGAACCCAACCATATCCATTCAAACCTGAACTAAGGGTCATGCGGAAACACAGACACACACACGGACACACGCCAAAAACCATACAGACTAGGGTGCGTACCGTAGGTCTGCTGCAGAGAGGTCTGCACGTTCTGCACCAGCTGGCTGCCGTGGTCCAGGATGGCGGCGCCGGTGGCGGTGGCAGCATCAACCAGCTGTAAAAAAAACGGACATGTCGCCATGAAACAGGCACTACAACATGTACAAAATATAGCTGTACCGATGTATTGTGTAGATCATTAAAGGTTGCATAGAGAATGTGAAACATTTGATGAAGACACTGTGCGTTGTCTCGTACAGGGCAATACGACTCTCGGTCTTCGAAACTAATGCCCAGCAGATCTCTTATTCGTTTATTACTTACGTTCGACCCCAGGTACAACTTTTCATGGACCAAATAACACCTGGAGACATTAAGACGTTTGTCTAGCAGAGATTATCAGACATGAACTAGCGAACGTAAGTTAAGGCTTAGCCAGCGAACACTTTCCTAATGCCCCATCATCGCGTGAACTGAGATAAGATAATATGAGGACAATAAGAGGGATATGTTACCGTCTGGAAGGCGTTCTGGGCCTGCTGGATAGCGGGGGCGAACAGGGAGGAGGCAGCGGCGGTCAGGTCATCGAAGAACCCGCGGGCACGGGCCTGGAACACATGAGGGGTCAGAAATCACCGTAAAGAACAGCACTTTTATCAGAAGCTTTAGACTGGTGATGCAGACCAAAGGAAATGCCGCCATATCTTCGTGGAGACCTATTGTAGGCCATTGTATTTTTTATTTCTTCCCTCGTATAATTGTTTTCTACCCTCCACAACATTTTAAAGCATGTTGTTTTCCCATTTTACGTGCCAGAGCTTCAAGAACCCTGACTTTAATCTGATCTTGTGTCCTTGACCTTGGAAAAGACACTTTTACACGACTTTCCTCGCTTCACTCTGGTGAAAATGAGCATTGTTCTCTGCGTTAATTGGAGGTGGCATAGAAATAAGTTGAAAACGTCACGTCAAGTCATTACATGTTGGAATAAAGAATTCCATCCACTCACCATCTTCTGCACAGCGCCAGCCATCTTAGCCTGCATCTCCTTGCTGCGCTTCCTGATGGTGAACTTGCTCTTCACACCGCTGATCAGCATCTTTCCACCTGTGACCAGGTTAACAGAGAGAACGTCAGTGTTAGAGCGTAATAAACAGAAGTATTTTGTCCGAAACTTTATAGCTTTTTTTGCAATTCAATATGGATAATACAGGACATGGTGGTGAGGTACTCTAGCTATAGCTAATTTTAAGCTCACAACGTTATAGCTTTATAGCTTTGTGCCAACAGAATGTACAAGGACGTCAGTGTTAGAGCTTAAAAAAGAAGTATTTTGTCCAAAACTTTATAGCTTTGTGCCATGCAACAGAATGTAAAAGTCTGGATGATTTAATCACCAAGTGGTTCTAGGGTCCGGCTTGTTTTCATATGCGTGTTTCTTTATGTACGATTTGACAGACTTTGGGAAATCGCCAAGATAATACATTGTACTGTAAGATATGATCGAAACTTTAGAGTAGCTCGTAATATACTAGTATCCAGATTTTCAACGGTGGAATGCTGGCTCGGTTCATATAGGTAATATCCACCAACTTGAGAGAAATGTTGCCTCTCTATTCCTCTTTTACAGATATTTTCATGGTCATAGCTCTGCAGAACTCACCCAACTAGTTCCACCACTCAGAACTTAAAGCGATCTACTAGGTTCTCCACTAGCTCAAACAAGTAACTTCACCGTCCAAATTCCTTGTTCGAAATCATTTTACAGTGACAGTTTCTTTCCCCGTACGGCCAAGCTTTGGAATTCCCTCCCTGACAAGTGTTTCCCACCAACCTACAATCTACAGGCTTCCAAATCAAACGTTCACCGCCATCTCTTGACATAGCCATGTTTCTGTCATATTTCTAGTTCAATGCTGAGAAGTGGTCGTATAGGCCTTGCATTGAACCACTCCGTTAAAAAAAATTGCGTGGTGTTTAAAAAATGCGGGCAAAAGTTTTGCTTACGGGATCCGGTGGTCCCGGTGAGCCCGTTGATGAGGTTGCTGAGCTCGCCCTGGACGGTCTGAGTCACGCTGTCAACAGCCTGCTGCACGGCCCCGGCCAGACCGTCAAAACCATCCTGGATGATCTGGCCGAGCTGTTCCAGGAAAAAAGTAGATTGGAGTTCGATGAATTTCGTATTCTTAAGGAAACTAGACAAACATACACGTCCTGAACTTAGCTCGTAAGGCAAAAACGTACAAAAAAGGTCTTTCATTCATCAGCAATATTTATGCAATCCTACTAAGACTCTCTCGCAATCTGTTGTCACATTGACTGAAGAAATGGTAGCACAGTCAGGCTACCAGCTATTTACTGTTTGCAGGTGCCAATTCCGTAGTTATTCCTGGCCAATTCTCTTTTCAGTCGCTTTCCGAAGCCTGGTAGAGGCTACTACACTCTTGTTAAGATGCAGCAAGGATACGGCAAGGAAAGATTCCATTTAAACCTGGACATGGGCGGGGTTAACAAATTTAAGAGGTAAGCTGGGGGACAAATATACCTCAGTCAGCAGCTGCCTCTTCCTCTTGCCGGAGACGAGGTTGGTCAGCGCGTCTCCGGCACTTTGTACCGCTTCTCCCACTAACTGCTGGGCGGCCTGGCCGAGAACGGGCACGTAGGTGTCAACAAGCTCTGAAACGGTGTGATGAGACAGGTGTTAGACGAAGCATTAATTGTATTCAAGATTATTTCCCTAGTTTTAGAATTTTAGATAGAAAAGAAAAATTCACATACCTCATGAAACTCGATAATCCTCGTTTTACGCGCTACATCTGTTCTTACATTTACAACTGTTTTAAGAAGCGAGAAGAAGCAGAACCTGTACATATGTAGTTTTACTATAGATATATTTTAGTCTACCATCGCTGTTTACCATGACCTGTACATAGTTCGAATGAGCAAAGATGTACAGTAAAAGGTCTTTCATTCATTCATTAAGCGATTAAAGTGCAATCTTTCGGCAGATGTTTTGTGTAAGACTTCACCAAATCGCCAGTGCGCGTCGCCAGCTCACATCCCGATCGCAATCTTTCTCGGTGCTGACGAAAGTGACAATAATTTTCGGAAGTACTTCAGTCTCGAGCTCTGTGCCACCATATCATAGTGCGAGCAGATGTTACAGACTTAAAGTGATACACAAACGAAGCACTAAGCGAGTTCAATGCAATCTTTCCCGGTGACAATTACGAAAGTATTCACTCTCTGTTCCACCATAGGAATATCCTTGTCTGTATCATATAATGCTTGATTGCATTTGATACACTACACAAAAGTCATTCTTTGTGGACATCGTAGTATTAGTATTAGTATTAGTAGTATTAGTAGTATTAGTAGTATTAGTAGTAGTAGTAGTAGTAGTAGTAGTAGTAGAGTAGTAGTAGTAGTAGTAGTAGTAGTAGTAGTAGAGTAGTAGTAGTAGTAGAGTAGTAGAAGTAGTAGTAGTAGCAGTAGTAGTAGTAGTAGTAGTAGTAGTAGTAAGCCTTTGTCGTAAAGCATGCATAAAGATTCCGTTTTTTCCTTTGCGCGTACATTTACGCATGTTTTAAAGATAGGATTTCGTGCAGTGAACGAATGAGTCTGAAATGATGAGAGGAGTCCTACAGATGACTTCTATCTCTGCCCTACCCTGGATGCCAAACTAGTATCGGGCCGTTAGCCGTTTTCCTTCGGCAGCCAAGAGCCCTTCGCCCGCCTATCTAAATTACCGCTACGGGGGAGTTGAGCTCGAGGGGTTTGTCCGGCCCTAGAACTCTCCCCGGGCTAGACTCCCCCGTAGCGTAATTTACATCAGCGGGCGAAGGGCTCTTGCGTCCGGGAAAACGAGTTCTGGATTCCAGGGTATCTCTGCCCGGTCGGTACCAACTGTCTATCGGACTGAACGAGTTACCTTGGGCGGCGAGCTGGGCGGCATCAACCACGGGGTCCAGCAGGTTGGTCTGGACGCCGTCCCACAGGTCGCTCCAGAAGTCGGCCTTGGCGCCAGCCAGAAGGGCCAGGAACAAAATAGCTGTCTTCATCTACAGGTGAAGGAGAAACATATTGCTGTCATGGCTAGGTGCAACATGACGATATAGAAGTGTCACACACAGGTCTCAAAAAGTCCTCATTCGCCACCAAGATTTCCAAGTAATTTGAGCGTCTTGGAAGACAGGCTTAAACAGTGTTTCTACTGAGGAATCTCTCTCCGTGGAAAGAGTAGAAACTGGCCAAATACTGAAATAGACAGATGATATGCCAGGGAAGTTGATCCGCACTACGAAAACAGTTCGGGAGAGACAAACTGTTCTTTTCGGTCAATTTTCACTCTTTCTAGCCGTTTTCCCAAGCCTTGTAGAGGCTATGACCTGTGCCGTTTCCGTCTCAGTCACGCGTTTACACTACACATACAAAAACGCAAGAGTTAAAAGAAAAACGGAACGTACCTTTTTTGGTGATTTTTTTCTTGCCTCCTCGTGAGATGGTCAGGAATGTGGCGGACTGCTGTGGGGCAGAAGACTTTATACCGAACCCTGAGAACAGCGCACCTGTCCCCGGTACCGGTGAGGTGGAAGAGACCCTGTTTGCGCCTAGGTTATCATTTTACAAACTTCCACACCCTTCCACATCCGTCATGTCCGTATGCCCCATTACAAACATCCAAATCTTCACGTTGGAGTTTTCCCATTGACTCAGCTGAAAATATATTTTTGTATTTTTTATTCTTAAATTAATTTTCATTTTTTTTCTATAATATTTTTTTGTGTTTTAATTGTGTTCAATTTCATATATCATATTCCTGCCCAAGTGGGCGAAATGCACATGTGACCTGGGAAAGAAGTGACATGACTTTGCGGCCCCCTAGCGGCTTGTTCTGGAACTGCAGAAGCTTTGGAAAATATTCGAAGGAGGATAACTCAAGAACCGATCGACGGATCATCATGATTTTGGTATGTGGGTAGCTTAAAGAATGCTTGACATAATAAAATGATAGTTATGCAAATCAGCAGCTAATAAGCATAATTCATGAGGAAATGCTATAAATCTGCTACCTACCATGATATGATTATTCAAACATGTGGCATGTGTAATGGTGAAGAAGAAGAACATTGGCAGATAGTGGTTATGCAAATGAATGCCCTATTTGCATAATTAATGCGAAAAAGCTATTATTCCATACTTGTAGCATTTTTTAATCAAGTGGAGGCAGACATCACTAAAAATCACATATTCAAATCAGGACCTCATTTGCATAATTTATGAAGAAATTCTAGATTAGCCATGTTTCATAAGACAAGACTGTCATTAGGTGAATAACATGATCAACTGATGTAATTCATGCAAATGGAGATCTTCAGATCTTGTTTTCATGATTAATGAAAGTCATTTAAAACTCGTCAACATTCGTCAAGGCCCAAGGGTAATATCGTTTGGCGAAGGTATGAAATCGTGGAACTCTAGTTTTTCTCTGACATTGTATGTGTAGTTTCAAGCCATCACCTGACATTTTTTATCATATCTAACTATTGTCATATGTCATATCAGCGGTCATATGACGTTCATGCTTTTTTTCACACCCTTGCCACGCCCTCAAAGAACGGAAGCGCAATATACTTGTTCTTTCAGCAACTCTCTGAAAGCAAACTTTACGTTTCGTAAAGTATCGCGGACGTCTTTCCTTAGTTTACTTTAGAAGTTCAGTTCTATAGTTACTACGGCTATATTTGTCATCTTCCGTACATCAACTGTTTGTTCGTAGCTAGCCGATCTGACCTGTTTTCTGATATCCGGTAGCGGATGTGTATGAAAGTACGTACCATCACCATTGTAGCTGTCCTTAACCTCTATAACCACCAGCTCAATTCTGGCGGTGACAATCAATTTCAGGAAATTGTTGTGAATGATACATCGTCCGCACAATTATAGTGTTTTATACTCCATCTCCTACGTGTTCATTCGGGATTTCTAATTATTCCAATGTTTTATCATTAAGTCGACAATATTTCCCGAAGTTTTTCATATCTCAAGAAACAACAAAAGACTATATTACTACTAAAGTCTTCCAACCCATTTATTTTTCAAAGAGTCGGACAATTCATATCCCACTGCCTCCTGAGAAGAAGTCAAACCCCTAATAGCATGGCAAGAATAGTTTAATAGAATAGAATAGATTAGAATAGCAGTTACCTTGTTCCTCTTAGCTGTTCATATATTGCATATCTACTGTTTATCCTGTATGTATACGTTATTAGATTTAAGTAGGGATAGTAGGTTCGATAAGTATATCGTACACGTAGAACTTCATGTTAGCAAATAGTCTTATATCACCACATTTTTCTTGTCAATGTCTGTTTGCAATTAGGCCATGTTGATTTGATTATATGGATGACATCCTCTGGGAACCCCAAAACTGATGCGCGCGTGCGAATAAAAAAAAGTTTTGCACAAAAAAAAAGTTGCTTTCACTATGAAATCTACGTGGTCATGAAGGTTGAACAAATGGCACAGAATATGTTATGGCGAATAATCTTATCTTCGAATTCATTTCTTTACATTTTTGTCTTTTTACCTTTGATTTTGGCATTCTACGACATTGGTATCGTTTCTAAATGTTTTCCTTGCAACTTATGGTATATTTTTGCTCATTTAGCAACTGTTTTGCACGATTTACAGTATGGTTGAAAACTTTTTTTTTTTGGAAACGGCCGAAAATTCATGCGCGCGCGGATGTCATCCATATAATCAAATCAACATGGCCTTAGCCCTCGGGCATGAATTTGCAATAAACAACTCTTCATTAACAGTTTTCGCCAGACTCTTGTACTTACTACAGAAGAGTAGATACCTCAGCGGCTAGGAGGTAGGCCGCTATAAGGTTCAGGACCCTCATACTAAGGCGGTTAAATGTTAAACATCAAAATACAATTTATTCAGTCACCATATGAAAAGAACCCATAACAGACTGTATTATTCGATCACTTGTCGGGTAAACCGCTGATGCTAGTTTTTGAAGGAGGTTAAAACGTTCTAACCTCCTTCATTTATCTAACCCTGAGGGTTGAACCCTTTCTAATTCTAGCTCACTGTGGCAACATGTTGCCTTATTATTCTGCATCCTGGCGTCACTATCTCAACATCCGTCAACTGACTACGATTAACCAGTACCGGAACAACACATATAAAAATGGAACAGGCCAGGGTCACCCAAAGTGAGTCCCTAAAAGTGTGTTAAGTAAAGTAGAGCACGGTGATCTGCACTGCAGCGTATTACTATGTATACTCACTATTGATTTTCCCATTAGTGTTATCATAGGAGTAGGCGGACGTCCTTGGTTAACGAAGCTCTATACACACATGACATAGGTAAAGGTAAAACTGCCCCGTGCGTGTTACTTTAGGTCAAATTTACCTATTTTGCATAATGTACGTATGTACATTTTTTGGCTTCTTTTATATATTCTCTATCACAAACATGTGGCTATAGGTAAAGGTAATGTGCCGTGCGTGTAACTTTAGGTCATATTATCATATAGCCGGGTGACGTTGACCAATCAGAAGGCTCCATTCCACATTCTTTATGTCACCGTAATGTCACAAATAGAGTCAAAATCGGGTATTTATTCATCCCAATCCATACATTAAACAAAATGGATAATCACCCGCATATGACCTCAGGTGACCCAATAGAACACGGCTCTACTTCTAAAAAATCCAAAAATAACTTGAATTGTGTTCCGATGACCTCGGGTGACTCCAATAAGAACACCTGTTCCCTGCATGTGACCCAGATAGAAGGCCATAGAACATGAACCCCCCAGTGACCCCAGGTGACTTCAGATGGAACAAATATTCTATGTTCTATTCAGCATGTGCAAGGGGTAAATTGTACATTGTGTCACTCTTCACTGCATCAGTTTGGATAGGCTATCGCGTAAGCTATATGATAATAGCGTTAATGGCCCGCCCTTTCTCGGTGAATATGGTGTGATAAAACCTTGTCAGTTGCTATAACCACCTCATAAAGCCACCTCGTTCGCTGCGCTCACTTGGTGGCTTTATTCGGTGGTTATAGCAACTGACAAGGCTTTATCACACCATATTCACCTCGGGGCGGGACATTAACCCTTAATTAACCTATTTTGCATAATGTACGTATGTACATTTTTTCGGCTTCTTTTGTATATTCTCTACTTCACAAACATGTGCCCATATGTAAAGGTAAAATGTTCCGTCCGTGTAACTTTAGGTCATATTCATCTATTTTGCATAATGTACGTATGTACATTTTTTCGGCTTCTTTTGTATATTCTCTACTTCACAAACATGTGCCCATATGTAAAGGTAAAATGTTCCGTGCGTGTAACTTTAGGTCATATTCACCTATTTTGCATAATGTACGTATGTACATTTTTTCGGCTTCTTTTGTATATTCTCTACTTCACAAACATGTGCCCATATGTAAAGGTAAAATGTTCCGTCCGTGTAACTTTAGGTCATATTCACCTATTTTGCATAATGTACGTATGTACATTTTTTCGGCTTCTTTTGTATACTATATCAGCACTTGATGTTTAGTAACTAGATTGCCAAGTTTCATTTTACACCCTTTTCTTTTTGTACTATGTTCAATAATCGTTGCCATATGTTGTACCATGTACAGTTGTTGTGCAATAAAGTTATTCATATGACAGTTAACTGTTATATTTTTAGCAATCCAACACTTAGGACGTTCTACATTTGTATTTAGTAACGTTAGGTGTAACTTTTATAGTACCGGTGTCTACATGTCATATATTTTTTTTTGTCAGGTGCATAGGACTATAAAAGGCAGGTTTACGGGGTTAATCATTGAAAGGTAACCGTTACATTTGCGAACCATCCAGTCCCAACGTCAAGGAAAGTATGGTTCGGATTTTCAGACAAGGTCAATGTTTCATTCAGCAAAATAGACAGAACTATAGACGAGAACGAAGAAACAAGCTCTTCAAACAGAGGTTTCGGCTTCGGCTTATTTTTGAAGTACTTTGGGGGCGTTTTATTGGGCTTTCTTTTTTTAACAGGTAAAGTCTGATATGTTTGTTCGCCAGCCAAAGTTCCAAACGCGAATGTAAAACTAGAATGTTTCAAATACTGACTACCATAACTGTTAAGTTACACACTTGCCATGTCCTTGGTGCTGAATGTCATTCATACAACGTTACATTGTAAAGACTAAGATTGTTTTGCTGTCATTAAAATCTTGGAGATTAGAATAGAAGACCATTAGAACAAGCAAGTAATCTCCAAGCAGATCCCTGTCGGTGGCAAAAAGACAGTATCAAATTGGCCAGGCAGTATCCATTAGCCAGAGAAGCTCCGCGGCCACCGACGGGTTGGTGGGGATCAGGACAAAAAAAAAAGGCCATTAATAAAAAGGTAACGATCATTCCCGGACAACCTCTGCTTGGAGAGTACAAGCTAGCTCTTGCTTGAAATGAAATCGCCACTGGGATTGTGAAAGGTTAACTAATCGATAAAACCATTAACCTATAACAGTAATGGTAAGTTAACGCCAGCTCGACCTCTCATTGGTTGACACAAAAGGTCAATCTGTGACCCAGGAACCCGGGAACCAAGATGGCGGACGATCAGACGATGATAATTTTGATCGCGATCGCCGCACTTTTACTCCTTCTGGCGCTCACGATATTCTTCTTCCTCGTGCAATGTGGACTTTTCCACACGGTGGACGTCCGTGCGGGAACCCCGCCCATCGAGAACGTGACGGTCATGTACAAGTACCGGCAGGGGCCGTATAAAGATGCCGGGGACTTCTTCACCGACACGATAGAACTCGCCCCGACCAAAAGGACGTTCGGGGTTTATTATGATGATCCCAAGCAGGTTGGAATGTCAGCGGTTTCTGATGATGGATATATTATTAGTTATCCTTTTCCACATTTGTCGTAAAACATTAACATAATGCTAGTGTATCAAATCCCAAGGAGTTGGTAGGCTCAGTGTGTGCGTGTGTATTTTTTGTTGGGGGGGGGGGTGGGGGGTCGAATGATTCTGCAACAATAGTTTGGACAAAGCAAGGACAAAGGAGGAATTATGTCAGTAGCAAAAGTTACGTTCTTGATATTTGTTGATGTTGAATTAATTGATAATAAATGAATATTTCTTTCTCAGCTTTTTTTATTCTTGTCAACATAATTTTATATACTACTACTAAACGTTACTGTAAATCGCTCTGTATTTGGGGTACTTTTATATTTGCAGTTTTTGCATCATTTCTGTACTGCAAATTTATCATTATCGCAAACAAATAATTTGCCGACTTTCTTTCTTCCGCACCTGCTGCCACTGCGAACATATAGTTCTGCAAAAGTTGCCATTTTTCTCGAAATTTTGCTACCGTAAATATAATGTGATTCACAGTACTTACCACAACCTAAGTTAGTAGCTGTATGGGTGTCTGCTAAACCAAAAAAATAGATACCATACAGTAAATAAACATCATAAGGCCTAGGAAAAAAAAGTTGTACTTACTGTTTCAGTCCTGAAAAATATAGGGTTGGTAGGTAGGGTTTATCTTTTTCCTCCTCTTTTTTTTAGCTAAACAAAAGTTTTTTACTTAAACAATTTAAAACTACCATGAGCACACTTTTATTTTCAATGTCAAGGTTGTAAAACTGATTGTACAACATTTCATCACTCAGGTGTCAGATCATGGAACTAAAAAAAGGTCGATCAGCTGGAAAAATTTATGTCCCTTGCAGTGATCAAGTACAAGATAGAACGTCCTTGCAGTGATCCACAAAAGAAAAGGCTAGGGTCAGCATTTTTTTCTAGGGTTGGTTGGGGAACAGGAAACACACCTTTTTTTCCTTGGCCTAATTTCCTATAACAGCAGATCTGTTCCATGAATGTGCCTGTGTTCTTCACCAGGTTGAGGCTGAGGAGTGTCGCTACATTGTGGGCTGTATCGTCAGTGAGGGGAAGGAGGCAGCAGACAAGGGTCTGATGGACCAGATGAAGGCAGAAGGTTACAGGTCCTTCAGGTTCCCTGCTGTTACTCATGCTGTCAAGACTGAGTTCCCCTTCGCCAACCATGTGTCCATTCTCATAGCCACCACCAGGGTCTACCCACAGCTGGCTGCTTACATCAAGGTAAGACTGAGTTCCCCTTCACCTGGACCATGTCTCCATTCTCATAGCCACCACCAGGGTCTACCCACAGCTGGCTGCTTACATCAAGGTAAGACTGAGTTCCCCTTCGCCAACCATGTCTCCATTCTCATAGCCACCACCAGGGTCTACCCACAGCTGGCTGCTTACATCAAGGTAAGACTGAGTTCCCCTTTGCCAACCATGTCTCCATTCTCATAGCCACCACCAGGGTCTACCCACAGCTGGCTGTGTACATCAAGGTAAGGCTCACTCACTCAGTCTCCATTCTCATAGCCACCACCAGGGTCTACCCACAGCTGGCTGCTTACATCAAGGTAAGGCTCACTCACTCAGTCTCCATTCTCATAGCCACCACCAGGGTCTACCCACAGCTGGCTGCTTACATCAAGGTAAGGCTCACCTAGTCCTCTTGCACGGAGTGCGTAGAGCCCAAAGTATAAGGTAAGGCTACAGCAAGTAATTCTTATGAATCAGCACCTGCATTTATTTTCACCCGATTAAAAAATTGTTGGTGCATGGTCAACATGCCGAAAATGGGCAAATATATCGTAAACATCTATCGGTTCAGAGACCATCAGAGATCCAGCAAACTTGGGAAGTTTTGACAAGTTACTGTGCTCCATTGTGAATACCCAGTGTATGAGCTACCCATATGGCAAGCTCTTTTCTACAAGAAAGGTTTTTGGATTTTTTTATCATTCATTTAGATTTAGGTTAAATAGATGATTGATGTGGTCTCTTATTGTGGGGCCTTTTGTAGTACACCTTCTCAATTGGTTATCCAAAACATTTAGTCACTTAAAGCCTCGGTCACAACTCGCCGTGCGTGCTTTTTGTCCGCACGTTTTTGTCGTGGCTACGTCTGCTACGTTTTTTCTGCAAACGTAGGGTGGCCGGCCGAGGGAGTACGTCACTCGCACGGTTGCGCAAGGTGTACGTACGTGGTCTGCACGACACGCCTGGCCGTCAGCGGTTGCGTGCATCGTACGTTGCGCAAGTGGTAAGTGAGTTGTACGTGCTTACAACGCACGATCTCTGTGCGATTGCTACGTTGCCGCGTACAGGCCGTACCTACACGTGCGGCGTACGCACGGTTTCCTTACTCACTCGCACGTTGTAAGTGCGTGCACCTCCTGTTAACTTCATCATCACTAGCCGCCCTGGTGTCTTCCGCGGCCCGTTTTTTTGGGTCTTGTCTGGTAATCTTCTTCTGAGCCTTCCTGGGCATCTTGGAGACGAGTTGGCAGTCGCTGGTCAAGTCGTCTTTATATACTGTAGAAATCAGGTGCGTTGCACGTGCGTTGCACGTGCGGAGCACCTGGTATGGTGCACGTGTGTTCTGCGTGGTCATTGAGCAGGTCAACTGGGAAGTGAGGAGTAAGCACGGATGACGCAAGCACCGTGCGTGGCACGCACATGCTTCGTGCGCTGTCCGTACAGCAATTGCACGTGAGAATAGTGAAGTTAGACTCACGGAGTCCGTACGTTGCACGCTCATAGGCTGTACGGGGCACGCGCGTCGCACGTACTCGTACGCACGGGTGGTAAATCCGCAGACCGCACGTAGAAAAAGTATTACATGCACTTAAAGTTCTACGGCGTGTCTGCGTGCTCCCAAATCCGTAGGATTCCGTACGGAGGTGGTACTCACCACGCACGGATGCCGTGCGATTGCCCACGTTTTTGCACGTAGACAGCACGCAGAAGCACGTACGGCGAGTTGTGACCGTCGCTTAACACATCTTCACTTAGCTACCAGTGTATTCAAGACCAAAATTTAGGGACAGAAAAAAGGTATTTATGTATGTGTGGTCTTTGTTTTCAACTATAATTTGGGTATTGTTTGCATCTTTGTAAGAACAGTAATACATGTACATTTTTATCAAGACATTCCCCAGTATATAAAGTGACTTACCGGTACATGTAAACTACCCCTCAGCAGGGACTCTGGAAGGTTAAGATGGGACTTTTTTCTTTTCCTTAGGAACACCACCTGTGTGCTCACCCATGTCTGGAGATCTACGATGAAAACTACATCCACTTCATGGCTCCGCTGGCCAAACAGATCCAGTTCTACGTGCCTGAGGTGAGGAGTGGATCACCCACCCTGTCCCTGGCTGAGACCACCAGTCCTGAGGACAGTCAGAGTGATGGGGAGGGGGACACCTCCTACATGTCAGGGGACACTTCTTACAACACCACCCTGGACTCAAGGGACTTCAGCACTCAGGTAAGGCTGATGTTTTGAGAGCATTTGTCATGCTCTCAGCTGACATGTTCTTAAGGCCAAACCAATTTAATTTCTTGGTTAACGGATTTTTAGAACTAGAAAAATAATGGAGCGGGCGGGCGAAAAAAAACAAACAGGCCTAGGCATTCTATTATGGCCCAAAATGGTACGATAGGAGCCATGAAGTCAACACACCAGGCTGGTTCAAAATTTAAACAATGAATTTTGAACTTTTAATGATACCACTGCATTAAAAGATGGAATAACTGTAACAACTAGGAAGAAATGGACTGTTTTCAACTGTTCAGGGCCAAATACATGTATAAGCATTTTGCAGTTGATTCTGAATTTTTTTTTCTTTTGCAAATCAGAAAAAAATGAAGCAGGCAAATCTGTTAACCAATAACCAAGAAATTAAATTGGTGTGGCCTAAGGCTGACATTTTCATGAGAGCATCTGTCATGTTCTCAGCCCACATGTTCTTAAGGCCTAGGAAAAAATGTTGTGCTTCCTGTTGACCCTAGAAAAAAATGCTGACCCTAGCCTTTTTGTGTGTGGACCACTGCAAGGGACATAATTTTTTTTGAGCTGATTGACCTTTTTTAGCTCCATGATTTGACACTTGAATGAAACGTTGTACAATCAGTTTTCCAACATTGACATTGAAACTACATGTATAGGTGTCAACATGCAATTTTTACTTTGTTAAACTGTATTGTACATGTTGGGTCTGTAGAGATTGACAAAGTCTAAAACAAAAGAAAGAAAAAAAAAAGATAATCCCTACCTACCGAGTACCGACCCTAATTTTTTTCAGGATTGAAACAGGAAACACAATTTTTCCTAGGCCAACTAAAGTTGGTACCCGTTAAACAAGTGGTTGTGAATAAGGAATGTTGCTTTAGATCTATACATGTAATTAGATCATTGATCAACCTGTTTATATCATTCATGTATACTTGACAGGATATCCGAGAGGAGATGGGGAAAGGCGAAGGATCAGAGGAGTCATCGTTTGAAGAGTTAGAAGTGGAAGAGGACATGAAGGAGTGACCTCAGGAGCTGTTATCAGAAGCTGTATAGAATGCCTGTGCAAGGATGTCTAACACAGTAGTCTGTTTTGTCATTAGGGCATGTTGAATTGATTGTATGGATGACATCCACATATGCATGAATTTCGAATTAAAAAAAAGTAAAATTTGACCACACTGTAAATCGTACAAAGCAGCTGCAAAATGGAGAAATATATGCCGTAAACTGCAAAAAATATTTGAAAATCATACTGGTGTCGCAGAATGCCAAAATCAATTCCAAAGGAAAAGATGAAAATGTGAAGAAATAAAAATGAACTGAAGAGTCTATTATTCGCCATACCATACTCTGTGTGTTTAGTCATTTGTTCAACCGTCCTAACAACATAGATGTCATAATGCCACATTTTTTTTTGCCAAACTTTTTTTTCATTTGCATGTTTGCATCAGTTTTGGGGATTCCCAGAGAATGTCATCCAGAAAATCAAATTAACATGGCCATATTGGGTAACCGTTGCACAAATAGCAATTGATTGCAGAGTAGATAGTTTCTGTATATTGCACTGATGGTCTACAACATTGCTGATTCTCATGTTCTCCTGCAATGTCTGTCATTCAGCCCTTTGGTCTTCATTTTCCAGACTTCTCTTTTAGATTTCAGAAGAAAGACAAGTAAGATGTGATTGGGCTCTTACTCAAGAATTGACTACATGTAGTACAAGTCTAGTGTGGTGCAAATACAGTACATGTGTATTGGTATTACAGTATCTTCAGACTGTAAAGAAGACATTCCATTCAAGAGCATTATGTAGAAGATATCTTCAGATGTCAACCATGATAGTCTGTTCATGTAAGCACAGCTTCTCTTACAGATACAGAGCCAGTACCTTCCAATGTTTTTCAAAGTTTATAAGTGTTCATAGATATCGAAGTCCACTATTTGTTGCTTTGATTTGTTGCCTCTATAAGAAGAGATGTCATTTCTTAAAACACTTTTCATTAGGTATTTTTTGCAATATACAAATGATCATTTAGGTAAAGCTCAGGTAGTTATAAAAAGGAGGGAACAAAAATTTGCTAGGTGAGCAAGAGTGACATGACACCAATGGTACTGTAAATCACTTTATGTTCACTTCTAGCAAAAGTATGTGGTTTGAGAAAGATGGACGTTCACGGTGCAGAAAGAAGAAAATTGGTGAATTATTGTTCACGGTAATGATAAGTTTGCAGTAACATCTATGTCCATAATATCACCAGGGTCCATAATATCACCACCTTGAGAAATAGTGTTCTTAAAGATATTTTACTGCAACATACCCTAGGTATGTACATTTGATGTGTGAAGGAGTGCATACCAAAAGTATGTTGCAGTGAAAATATCTTTAAGTTTTAAGCACACTGTTTCTCAAGGTGGCGATATTATGGACCCTGGTGATATTATGGACACAGATGTTACAGAAGTGACCACAAAAACAGCGGATATGAATGAACTGTGAAAAAAATTGTAATTTACAGTATTTTATTGTCAGTGGGACAACCAAGGTTTTCCAAAAACAGTACCTTGCAAAGTTGAATACTACCTCATTCCTTTGAATACAGTACAATGTACCTCCTTGATGCATGTAATGGTGTCTGTAAACTTTTTATTAAACTATCTAAATCTTTTACAAAACATCAATTGCACGATAGCATCTGAGCAAGGGGTCTTTCTTCTCAAGTTGAGGGAACTTGTAGGGAATAATCTTGTTGGGGTAAAATCTAACTTCCAGAAACTTGAATCAGAATACATGTGGAAATACAGCCAGTATGTACTGATAGTTTGTGACATTGTTTGTTTGTTCAGAAACTTACTGTATAACTCATAACATTCCAAAACTGTTGAGCACACAAGTAATGTGTCAGTTGTAAGCCAGGTCATTTAGGTTGGTACAGTGTTAAGAAATTTGCTTGAACCTGTTTATGATATAAATAATGTTTGCCATATTTTAGGTAGGTATTTTCTATTAATGAGTTATTTATCTTTGTTGCTGATAGGCAATGTCTGCTACATTGAATAAAAAGGTTACTGAAAAATAGCAGCTCATGTTTTTACTCTTTCTTCCCATCTTGTGTCAGTAAGTGCAAGCCTTTTCTTTGCTGTACTAAAAGCAACATTAGTGCTAGAAGGATCGAACACAAACAACTGCTGCAATCAATGGTGCTTTGTAATTACGTTTAAATTTGCAGAAGGAAAACATTTATTTTTTTTTTTGCTCAGTTTCTCCTCAAAATACATAAGGTCAATGACCTGGACCAGAAGTCTGTCACCATGGTAACTGGTGCTGTAGCAGACAGCCAGTGGTGTTGGATTACATTACGTAGCAAGTGGCAGGACAGAGCTGGGGGGGCTGGTCACCATATACTAGTATATGAATGTGTTTCAGTTAGAATAGTAGTTTGTTGGGCCAGACCATGTTTAAGGTCAACATTATGAATTTCTTTGCAAATATTACCTATCTATTGTTAAAGTTACGTCATGCAAAGTCCAGTGTCTAGTACAAGAAGTCTTGATTCTTCCTTTGTTGATCCTTCAAAACTAGGATCGCAAAATGTCTCTCAGCACACTTCCTTGCTCAGGCACGGGTAGCTCCTCTGCAACAACAATCCCATCACCCTGGCAACCACTGTCAGCATCCTTGTCCTCTAGGTTACACAGAAGGGTGTCGTTCTCATACGTGGGGAAAAAATACCTGGGGACAGAAGATGTGACACAATGGTTAGCCATGGAGGTAGAAGAGAGAAAGGTTAGCGGATACGGATTGGAAATCACAAAATGTTTTGAAATTATGTAGCTGGAGACACACTTTTTTGCAGCTCGGAGAGTTTCCAAATGCAGCTGTCCAATCAATCAATCAATCAATCAAATGGTTTATTATGTACATTTGTAGATATATGTCAGGGAAGAAACTCTGGCAGATCTGGTAGAATTGGCAATTCTAATGGCAGAGATTCTGATTGAAGTCTCTATCAACAGAAACTGCGATCAGCATCTCGACTGGCAGAATCGCCAATTCTACCAACAGAGACAATGTTGCTATAACTTAACAATTCTACAAGGTTGTAGTCTCTACCCCAGAGCTCTAGCCAACACCTGTTTTCCATCAATTGATGTGTAGCGGAAATTTTTAAAAACCAATCTGTCAACCTTGATGGACAAAACTGACCAAAATCTTAAAAATATAAAATATAAAAACATCTAAACATCTAAAAATTAAAAATCTCTACAGAACCACCAACAACCACACTCAACCCCATCATTTGCCTCTCAAAATGTGAGAAATTGTGTTTTTAAAGGCTTGAAAATACAAAATTTTTTTCCCCGCCCCCCCCTAGATTGCGAGCATTCTCCTCCAGATCCGATCATGAACCTGGGCTGACAGAAAAAATATGTAAAAGAAAATGTATCTATTCAAACAGCTACCAGTACTTACTGTGGCTGGTCCCACACCGACTTCTCAGGAAGACCTGTGTGACCTTGGGAGGTCATGTGATCTAACATGGCCGCCCTGGAGGAGAACCTCTCCTGACAGACCACACAGATACACTGGTGCACCTGGCGCCGGATGTAGTTCACCAGCTTTATCTGCTGGTAAAACGTCAACTCTGGGAGGGACACAGTTTGAGCAACAGTCAGAAATGTTTGTTTAGACTTAAAACTTTTGGTCCAGCATAAAAAAATTCTCTCACCTAAAACTTTCGACCAGTCACTCTGGTCTTCCTCAGTAGACTGACCCAGTGAGACTTGTCACATGGCTTCTTTGAAGTGTGAAGTCAACACTGGGTCAAAGGTATCTGGTAGACGATGTTGGCCCCTGTCGCGGTTCAATGATGGGTGATGGGCCCTAGTCTACCAGATACCTTTGACCCAGTGTTGACGTCACACTTCAAAGAAGCCATGTGACAAGTCTCACTGGGTCAGTCTACTGAGGAAGACCAGAGTGACTGGTCGAAAGTTTTAGGTGAGAGAACTTTTTTGTGTTGGACCAAAAGTTTTAACTCTAAACATGTAACTACATGTACCAACACAGATGAACTTTCATGATAGTCAGAAATGTTCAACATAAAAAGTCCAAGACAACATCTTACCAGGTTGACAGAGTGTATCTCGAAAGCTTTTTCAAGCTGTTATTCTTGGAATAGCTGCAAATGGCTTACTTCAGACTTACCTAGAGACTCTTTTACTTTGGAGAAGTCAAAGGAATGGGCATCCTGGAAAATACACAAAAATTTGTCAGAAAATATTCAATACAAGAATGTTTAAAATTGACAATTTAAATCATTAGCATTGAGAAATGGCCTTGTGATTGGAGCTTACACAATGGATAATTAAAATCATTAGCATTGAGAAATGGCCTTGTCATTGGAGTTTACACATTAAATCTTAAAAATTTAAACTTTGAGATACCATTATGACCAGCGCTTCATAGAGCTATACCATACCATCATGTGTTGTGTTAGCTTGTCTATGGACTCTGCAGAGACATCACAGAACAGACACACGGCCTGGGCACCCTCCTCCTCCCAGTCTCCCCACTCTCTAAAATACATGAAGTGAGAAGTTTAAGAGGCCAGAAACACAAGTGGCAAACAAAAGATTATATAAATATTTTATATTGTAGACTGAGGCAAACTGTGCGTCATAGTGACTTTGTTTCAATTTACATGTGCAGTACACTAGTATACAGGTCTTCAGATTGACCTAGTATACAATGTATGTCAAACTTGCCATAGCATCAAGACATGTCCTATCATCATAGTTAATCACGTGTATATAGTGTAGAAATTGAAGAGAAGATCTACTCTATTGTATAACTGGTATGACAGTGACTTACTCCTCCTTGTCTGTGTCTTCAGTGACCACCTCAGTGTCATCCTCTGCCTGGATGGACTCCCAGTTCTTCCCCAACTCCTGGTCAAGAAGTCATTAACACAATAAATTGACCATCTAGTTTTAGAATGGGCACGTTATTTTTTATTTTATTTTTATGAAGATTTACCACATTGACATAACAGGCGACAATTGCCTATTCAAGATGTCAAACCTGAGACCAGACTGTAAGGTTTGAACTTCTCATGCCGCGAAGGTCCCCTACGTTTTTCGGTAAGTGCGGTGGGTTCTTTAACGTGCGTGGGGTGTGGCTCTCCCAAACACGGGACCTCCATTTAACGTCCTATCCGAGGGACGTCCCTAACCGAAGATAGGTACTCACTCCCACCTGAGTGAAGTGAGCAAAGTCGTGTAAAGTGCCTTTCCCAGGGGCACAAGATCGGTGACACTGGGCAGGATTCGATCCAGGGACCTCTTGGGCCTGGGCCGAACACGCCACATGACCCCACAATAATAGTTACATGTAGTTAATAATAGTTACATGTATTCGGTCATTACCGGTCTTGAAGTTGTGGCCGCATACCTTTTGGTATTGCATATAAATATAGAGATACACGTATGGCCCCGTAATCCATGACTGGGTCAATATATAAAGTAAACTTGTGTTCAGACTGAAGTTGGAATGCATTCAAGTTGGTTCGAAACTACAGTCAAACCTGTCCAAGCCAGCCAACCCAGGGGACCAAAGAAAAGTGGTCACCTTGGACAGGTGGTCTCCTTGAAGAGGGTCGCCTCACAACATGACTGAGGCATAAATGGTTTCAAAGCCGAGATTTTTAATGTCAAGTGCTGTAGGCATTTTCAGTTCTGTGGTGAATGCATTGTATGGAAGGTGGCACATGGAACAATTTACATCGAACAAAAAAAAAACATCCAGCAGTCCAGTAAACTGGCTGATTTCTCATTAGTTATCATCAATAATCAACATGATCAAAAATGATGTGGTCACCATGGGCAGGTATCAGGCCTTGAGCGGACCCAACTCAGGGCGGTCGCGTTGGCCAGGTGGTCACCTTGGACAGGTTGTTTAATGCTTGTGTCAATGGGGAAAATTTTGAGGACCAAGCAAAAGCGGTCACCATGGACAGGTGGCCAGCTTGAAGAGGTGGTCTCCTTGGCAGGATTGAGTGTACCTCCAGAGGTTGTTTGGGATTGAGCTGATTTCAATGTGATTTAGAGCGTTTAGACGGGGCCACATGAATCCTGCTTTGGTGGAATCCGGATCCAATGCACTTCTACAAGCTTAATGTGAGGAGGAGGAAAAAAATACTCACCAGGTAGTTAATGACATAGAACTTGTCGTATGCTGTGTTCTTGGGGTTGATCTTCTTGTGGAGTTTCTTCCTCATGTGGTCCTTTAACGTTGGCCTGTCCTTAAATGTCTTTTCACAATAAAGACACTGTAGTCTGTCAGGAAAATAAATGGAATCATTCTTACAGACAAGATTGATACAGAGTGTTTAATCAAGGTCCTTGGTTTAATATATCCATGAATAGTTTTATCACTGAATAAATAGACATTAATAGCAGCGACACCTATGCTGTGCAATGTGAACCAGTCAGAATTACCCTGAGGAAAGTGAGAGTCACCGAAACGTTGGCTGAAAAAACACTTGTGTAAAAAATAGTCTCTTTTGAGGATGACATCATTCTTCTTAAATATATATCTCGAAGAACTGAAGTATTCTGACAATGTATAGGAATAACTTAATCATTAACAACTCAATGTTGCATTTCAATCTGAGCAAGTGTTAAAATGATATTCTATATGGTGAAACAGCATTGCTATGTATTGAGTTTGTAACTTAAAAAAATAATGGTAACTTACCCTTCCAGCTTTTCTTGTAGTATATCCAGGAATTCATTGGCATAAACTGTAAGCAACAGCAATACAATAAAACTGAATGGCAATGGAATATGACCATTACAAGAACTCCTGACGTTTGTTTAATTGTTCAATAGAGAGAAAAAGAGAGGAACATACCTAAGTTATCAGGCTGTCCAACGTTAAACCCATGGTCAAACGTCATGTGGTTGAAAAGTTCACACCTGTAAAACAGAACAAAGTTACCACTTGTTAGTTTGGCTTTATAAGTAAATTTATGGATGACATCCTCCTCGACTCCAAAACTAATGCGAACGGGCGAAAAAAAACAAGGCAGGCCAAAAAAACAAGGTTCCTACATTATCAAACTTTGATTCAATAATTATACAAATGGTTTTGATTCAGTGAGAACATCACATATACACAGCCAGCATCACATATCACTGCATCAAAGTAAAAAACAAAACATTAAATCAGAGCCTTTTCTTGTCTCCTCTCTTCATAGATATCTGCCATCCACCTTTCAGCATGGCAACAAACATCTTTACCCATTTTCGGCATGTTGACCACTGTCAGAAGGCAACAAAATTTCTTTTTCTTCTTCCAAAATCAAGTGAAAATTAATGCGTGCGCTCATGTTGTACATAAAAATTACTTGCTGCGGCCTAAGTCACAAAGTTTGGCATTTTTTATTTGCAGGGCTTTAAAAAACATCATAACAAAACATGATGACTTGCCTATTGCCTTGGAAGTGCATCTTACAGAAAAGACAGGCCCTGGAGAAGTGAGCATCAGTCCTTTCTTTGTGCTGTTGGGTCAAAATCTCCTCCTGTATATGAAAGTAAAACAAACATAGAGGAAAGAAAAAAAAACAGTTGCCTTCATTATGAATTCCATATGGTCATGAAGGTTGAACAAATGACTAAACACTAAGTATGGTATGGTGAATAATAGACTCTTTATTTTCATTTCTTCAAATTTTCTTCTTTTCCTTTGGAATTGATTTTGGCATTCTACAATATTGGTATGGTTTTCCAATATTTGTTTTGGAGCTGCTTTGTACGATTTACAGTATGCTCAAAAACTCTTTTTTTTGGAAACAGATGAAAATTCATGTATGTGCGGATGTCATCCATATACTGTAATCAAATCAATTTAATTTGTTGGTTCTCATATTTTTTGTGACGTACAGGGCGGAGAAAAAAAACAGGTCTAGGCATCCTATTATAGGCCCAAATATAATATATTTTTGGGCCTATAATACGATAGGAGCCATGAAGTCAACATAAAAGGCTGGGTCAATGAATTTTGAACTTTTAACCAAACCACTGCATTGATAGATGGAAAAACAACTAGGTAGAAAAGGACTTTCCTCAACTGTTTTTTGAGCATATCTGAGTTGATTCAGAATCAGAAACTAATTTTTTTTGCAAATCAGTAAAAAATGAAGAGGCGAATCTGAGAACCAACAAATTAAATTGGTGTGGCCTTTAAAGTCACTAACCAGCCTGCCCCTTTGCAGCTCCTCCCGTAACTGCTTGTCCTCTGGTAGAACGTCACACAGCAGGTAGAAGTCCTCACTTGGTGCCTTGTCTGTCGGGTGGGTGTTGGTTCTGATCACACTGCAGAACTCTGTCAGGGGCTGGTCCTGAAATCTCTCCTTCCAGTGTTTGGCATATCTGGAAAAAGACATTGACAGTCATTCATTCTATATACTAGTAATGTCCTTGTTTGAGTTAATGTCAACAGGTGACACTTTCGATTAGACAAATTTTGCATGTTTTTTCAGGCCACACAAATTTAATTTTTCTCAGATTCGTCTGTTTCGTTTTTTTTCTGATTTGCAAAAAATACATTTCAGGTTCTGAATCAACTCCAAAATGCTCATACTTTGGTTTTTGTTTACATCATGTACATGCAAATTATTTGAAGACATATGCAAATTATCTTTAGGTAAATCACCCAACTGTCACCCACTTATGGTGATTATACCGCAAGGAGGTTCAAATTTATTTTTGAACCTCCTTGATTGTACATGTAGAATACTGTAAACCATTTTATATTTGCAGTAGCAAAAGTTTATGGTCTGAGAAAAATGTATATTTTCATGGAACTATATATTTGTGGTGGCGGCATGTGTAAAAAAAAGAAATTGTGATTTACAGTACCTTTTCAGGTCAGCTATGAGCTTCACATCTGCAATCACGACCTTATGTTCCACCAGTAAGTGTGCCAGGAACATGTCCCTGTCCCCGGCGGAGTCTTCAAACGTCTGCTCACACAACAGGCAGACCAGTCTGTCTGACTCAGCAACACTGTCGGCTGCACCGGCCGCAGAGTCAGAGGGAATGCTGGGAGATTCTTGCCTCTCTGGCAGGGTGAGCGGCTCCAGGATACAGTTGGGTTTGTCCTCTGCCAGTCCTGTAAAACGTATAGGGACGAGTAGAAGATATGAGAACCACTGGAAATCAAACCCGAGCCACTAGTTCAAAAACCCAACACACTAACCGCTAGGCTAAAAGGTCCAGACCTGTTACACAGGTCAGTTGGTGGTTCTTGAACCACATTGTTATACTTACAAGTATGACTTGTCACAAACATACAGGGTTTGAGAAACTGGACAAGCTAAAGGGCCAAAAGTATAGAAGTGGCAATTAAAAGTGGCATTTAAAGTTGCATTTCGTAACATTAGGATGCGTCGGTGAAGGTTAGACATTCAAGTAATAGGATACGCCAAAAAAACAGTTACTCAAGCAACTGGATATGATTTTGGAAATGGTCAGACATTTCAGGTAGTATCCAAGTGTTACTTTTCGTCAGTGACACTGTAGAGATTTTAAATTCAGCAGGCTTATAAAGTCATTCAGGAAGTGGAGATGCCATAATATGATTGTGTTAAAAACTGGAAACACAGCTGTCAACATTCTGGTAGTTTGAGGTGGCACCACAAACTGAGTGTGCCTCGTGTGGGCCAACCATGAATGTCAGAAATTGCAAAGATGTTGAAAAGTGAAAGTAATTACAATCACATGACCATTTTTACAACAAAACTATTTCAATTTTGGGTGCAAAAATTTTACATAATGCCCCTTTAATACTAACTTTAAATATGAGACAAGTGTACATCTGAAAAAAGATATGTGAGTTTTATATAATTTTTGTTTGATCACCGTTTTATGTGTTATCCCATGATACGACTTTTATTGACCTACTGATACTGCCAGATCATCATTTTTGTATATCAAGACAGTAGCTAAACTTTTAAACTTTTAATAGATGGTGCAACAACATCAAGTTTAGTGGATAAATTATGCCCCCCCACAATTTAATTATTCCTTGCTTTATAAATGCAGCAAATAGAGATGCACTTATGATTTTCCTGCTGTATAACTGTCCTAATGTTTTTGCCTCTAGTGTGGTTCATATACTGTAGCTTAAAGCCCGTAATAAAAGAAAATATGGATCATATTTTTGAACACACCTTCACCACCGGACTGCGCCATCTTGGTTTAAAGTTCTCCCCCCTGTTTACTTAATGGACTGGTCCATTCGTCACGTGACCAAAACAACATGGCTGCCAGTCAAAGTTCATTCGATACTATTTCGCCCGGGATGATTATATAAAATTATGCACGTTTTCATTGGAATTCTGGTCAGATCTTAGGTCCGAAGCGATGGCTACTTGGAGCCCCACTCCTCCGCACAAGAAGTACGGAGTCGGTGAGTACGACGCCTTGTTTTTTGGGAGTTTCACGAGGTGTTTTCTGTGGGTTGATTTTTTGAGCGCTTGGTACGGGTAGGCCCGGCCCTGCTGGTTCAAATTATTAGGCGAGGAAATGATTCATTGTTGCAAAATTTCCCCTCGCTGCTTAATGAAAACTTCCTGGTGATTGTGTAGCATTTCCAAAGCATCTAGAATGACACAAGTTTTGATTGCACGCCTACCCACCGGCGTTTTTCTAAACAACAGTTATTTATAAACCGGTGGGTGGGCCGTATGGAAGCCCGCTATTTTGTACAGGATATACGTGAGATAGTCAGGGGCTATGCCGGGCTGTGGCCTCGGGCGTTGTCGCGGATTTTTACGCTATCGCACCGCATCTGTCGGTGTCAAAATACGGTCTTATCGACCGTGAACATGCACGAGCTACCGGCTAGTTCTGTACTCTTCTTGTTCGCTGTTTATGAAAGAATTTTAGTCCCGGAGGAAGTGGTCAAAATTTGATCCAAGTGGGAGCTTACGCCCCCTGTTGATACGTATTGACATGCATGTTTACAAAATGCCAGTTGTCATAATGCACCATTGTTCTTCAAAACTGCGTCTCTGCACTCCAAAGGAATCCTGCGAGCCATTTGTTCCAGCCCAGAATAGCCAAGTTCAAAGTGCTTTTCACTGAAACACTTTTGAAATACAAATTGTAAGACTGGGGGCTTCTGAATGAAAGTGAAGTGACTTTTGGCAGCAGGTGGTCTAAAAAAGGGACAGACCTAACTTTTAAAATAACTTTGCCGCTAGTTGAAAAATAAACTTTAAACGTAATGATATGTTCAACCAAGGAGGCTTAATTTTTAACCATGGTACAACCAAACCAAATCAAACTACAACTTACAAGAGACATACATGTATTTTTGTTTTCATGAACATCATCTTAATTGAATCATCTTGCTTCTTGTGTTTGATACTTTTCTGTTGTCCTTGCAAAGAAGCACATAGCTTGCCCAACTGATATGACTGACTTTCATCTATTTTATTAATTTATTAAGCTTTAGGGGTGCTATATTATATGTGATTTGTGACTAAAAGTACAGATTAGTGCTCATGCAAAAGACGAAAATTCCTACCATTTGCAAGAAAGAAATTTGCATGTAACTAGTAGTAGTATTTACAAAACAATGGTGGCACATGGCGATAATTGGCTACTTGTTTGTATCTAAATTATGATGATTAGCTGTATGTAATTAGCACTATCTCCTCAATCATCACCTGTCTAGTGATGCCCTGTATTTCCTGTATCTTATTAATACTAAGTACCTGATACCAGATCAGAGAAGAACAAGAAATAACCATGCCTTCAAGCAGCATATTTTTTTACCTTCATGGTTCAAGTTAGTACCAAGGATTGAGGTGTTGAAAAACTCATTCTTTCCTAGAACTATCGCAGAGTGGAACTTGCTGTCACCAAGTACAGTAGGGGCATTGTCATTAGCTTTAAACAAAGTTTAGAGTTAGATGTTCAACAGTTAGGTGTAACAAGTCGTTTGGTGTAATATAGCTAGCAGCCGCCGCGCCGCATGCCTGCAAAGCTGGCGTGTTACACCGAAGGGCGGTTATACCGGCTATACCGATACAGATACAGATCCTTCTCAATTATGGGGAGTTGGCAGAAGAACAGACTTTGCATTACATTATTTTGTAAAGTTGCAGAGAAAAATGAGAAAAAGATACTTGCAATTTTACAAGTGTACAACATAAAGCTTCACATAGAATTGTTAGCACAGATTCTAACTACACTGTATAAACAGAAAGTCCAGTTCTCTGTAATCTTCAAGCAGATCTTTCGGTAGCCACAGGCCAATGGATACTGCCTGACCAATTTGATATTGTCTTTGTGGCCACAGAAAGATCTGCTTGGAGATTACTACATGTAGTAAGTTCTCAGTAAATGCTGTCAAGGCCCATATGGAGCAGTTGATATATGCATTTGTCCATATAGCAAATGGGAAACAGTTTTTTTCTACATTTTCACACCTTTACTGAATATTTCTAGTGGTTGGAGTAGTCTGTAAAGTTACTTGTTCTGGTGCAAGTGCAGTCAAAATTACGTGCACCCCTCCAATTTCACTTGCACAAAGTGGTAATTCGAGTCTGGAAGAATATAGGTCTACTGAGTCACATCCGTAAACAGGATGTAACAGGTTATCTGAATACACAAAAGAGACACACACTTTCTGGTTTTTCTTTTATGTAAATATTTCACACAGATTTATTAATTTCACACATGGATCCAGGCCTCGAAATTAACTTTTTTTACTATTGTCCCAGAATTGTCCCAAACATAGATTTCAATTGTCCCGAACTGAAGATGGACTGTCCCAGCCTGCTTTTCAGGAAATAAGTTTATGACAACAATAAGAAAACAACAACTGAATTTGTACAACTTGAAGTCCACTTTATTAGTATATGTAGGGAAATACATGATAATATCATGGGCATGGCACCATCCCTGATATTTGGAATCCCTGATTGGTCAAATTTAAATGTTTGTCAGAGTATTATGGGCTGCCGGCAGTCTGCAGCAGGATGGATGGATCGCGTTCCTAAATGACGTGGACGGTCTGAGAATTTCTCCAATGGCCCTGAAATTGTCCCGAAACATAATTTGAATTGTCCCAAGCTGAAAATTTAGTGTCATTTGACACTGGGACAATGTTAATTTCGAGCCCTGGGATCATGTGTTTTCTTTTTAAGAGCTATACGATAAACATAATTTTCTCTTCAAATAATAACTTTTGCTTTATATGCTTTGCATGAAAATTCTAGGATCTTCTTTTGTCTGTGTTAAAATATTGACCCGAAGAAACAGGTTTGTACTTGTTCTAGTCATTTTTCCAAGAACAATGCACAAGTTGGAAAGTCCAAAGAACGGGTGGTCAGAACACTTTTTACAATACGTGACAAACTAGGCCACAGCAAGTAATTTTTCTGGATGACATCAGCGCGCGCATTAATTTTTGCCTGATTTTGGAAAAAAGAACAAGAAATTTTGTTGCCTTCTGACAGTGGTCAACATGCCAAAAATGGGCCAAGATGTCTGTTGCCATGCCAGAAGGTGGATGGCAGATATCTATGAAGAGAGGAGACAAGAAAAGGCTCTGATTTAATGTTTTGTTTCTTTGATGCAGTGATATGTGATGCTGGTTGTGTATATGTGATGTTCCCACTGAATCAAAACCATTTGTAGCATGATTGAGTCAAAATTTTAAATTGTAGGAACCTTGTTTTTTTCGGCCCGCCTTGTTTTTTTTTTGCCCGCTCGCATTAGATTTGGAGTCTGCAGAGGATGTCATCCATAAAATTTACTTGCTGTGGCCCTACTAAGTATGTCTGTACGGTGTGTGGCTTTGTCCTACTGGGCATATGCTCCAAAATAATTAGAGCATCCAGAATGATTGAAGAGTTATCAGGCCAAATTGGACGGCATGTTTTTATGGCGGTATCATTCTTGTAATCAGAAAGAGACGACTGCCCAGAAATGACCAGGGTAGCCCCACCTTTGGGACACAATCAATTTGCACCTGCTGGAGTGTTAATCAATTTTTCATTAGGCTCACCTGCTTACAGGCATATTGCGGTGGTCTTTGTATGGTCAAATTAATTCAATAATTACGTAGAAAGGACCGTAATTCTATTATGATTTTTGCAGCAAATTTTGCTCTTTCATACAAAGAGCAAGTTAGATTGCAAGCAAAAAATTCTTGCAGAATTGTAGCTAATTTTGATCTGAAAAAGCCTGGTTGCTTAAAGACATATTGCGGTGGTCTTTGTATATTCAAATTAATTCTATAATTACATATAGAAAGGACTGTAATTCTATTATGATTTTCGTAGCAAATGTTGCCCTTTCATACAAAAAGCAGGTTACAAGCTGAAAATTCTTGCAGAATTGTCGCTAGTTTTGATCTGAAAAAGCCCGATAGCTTACAGGCATATTGGGGGTGGTCTTTGTATGTTCAAATTAATTCTATAATTGCATATGGAAAGGATTGTAATTCTATTATGATTTTGTGCTCTTTCATATAAAAAGTAAGTTAGGTTACAGTGTAAAAAAAACTCTTGCAGAATCGTCGCTAATTTTGATCTGAAATATGAATCTGAAAACCTAGGTGGAAGGTAGCCAGGATGACTCATAAAAATAGATGTAATATTTATAGAAACTGAATTCTGTGCTTTATCAACAAAACAGATTTACATATTATGGCAATCAATTACCCGGTACATATGATTTACTATTCACTGTACCATAGGTATATCTTACTATAATTATTGTTCCTATGTATAGGTAACGCTAACAGGTTATGTTTTGTAGATATTTACTATAACTTATGTCTCATTGTCCTTCCTTTGTTTGCTTTTTGTATCATAACATTATTATATACCTGTTTCTCTTAAAGATAGGGTTGTTCTATTACATTAATTATTAGTCAAACACCATAGAGCTTCTGTAGCCCCCCCCCCCCATAAAAATATCTTAAAAGACTGTGTCAGGCATTTTGATGTGTGAAAATCCTCCTAGAAACTAGGACGTGATTTGTAATCTCACAAATTCTCCAGTGCCTAGTGGTATTCTTTTGGGACCTCTTACCCTATTTTTACGGAACTAAATCCTTCCACCAAAATGGAACAGTATCCTCTGTAGTATTACCTACAATTCATTTGTGGTTCTTTATCTTTTTTTTTTACCCGTAATTCATTGCTAAAATATCCTCGTATCCTCCTTATTTTTTATTAGCCAGCTGATGCTCTACTTTTTAGCATACGTTAGAATTAGAGGAACAACTGGCATAGCCTGATAAGAAAGTGCAATTGTATATATTTATCTTCTGCTGAAACAGTTTGATAAATGTGGTTGGTACGAAACTGTAAAAACACAGATGGTGATCATGTATCTTATCGTAGAATCACCAGTTGACATTTGATATGTCTTATAACATTATTCATT